CTAAGTGCATGATACCTGAAATGCTGTCTGACTAAGCGCATGATATATCTGAAATGCTGTCTGACTAAGCGCATGATATATCTGAAATGCTGTCTGACTTTTCCTCTTTCCGCTTTCTAGATCATTACTTACTGTGTAAAAAAACTTGTGGTGTTGTTGTTGTTGTTGTAGTCCTTCCAAGAACCAGATTTGGTGTGGTAAATTGTGTGATAATAGTCGTTATTTAAACAGACACACTTCTAAAGAAATTCAACAGACCTCTTTTAAAACTAGGATAGCCATGCAGGTGAAGAGTAGGCAAGTTGCTTATAGAAAATAGAAAAGTTATTCTCCTGGGGAGTTACGGCTATTTAAGTAAAATTAATGTCCATTAAATGTTTGGTTATTGTCGGAAATGTTAAATGAAGCTCAAGACTGCGTCTCAGGAAGTTTATAATTGGTGAACTCGCACAGGCGAGCGAGTGTGCTCATTCCTCGGTTAACAAGCTCCATTATCTAGAGGCCTAGGGGGCTAGGGAGGGCTGCTAACCATTCACTTCATCAAAGTGATCCTTGAGCTTAACCCAAAGACCCTGAGAGATTTAGACCAGCCACTTCCATTTTCCAGGCTCCTAATCAGAGTTATAAAAAAACGGATCATATATTTAAATAGGTACATTTAAAACCTAATCCTTCAATATAATATTACAGATATGCTGCCTATATGAGTAAACACATCTGTAGATAACGATCAGAATCAAAGACGCTTTATGAAGGTAAAGTTTCAGCCCACATGGCTTCTCGAGTTTCACTCTGATAGGCACTGGCTGTATCATTTAGATAAAAAAAATAGTTAACAATGACAAAATCATAGGTTTCCATTTATTTTTAAGCATCAGATAAAAGCAACTAATTTTTTTTTTTTTTTTTTTTTGAGATACAGTCTCACTTTGTCACCCTCAGTAGAGTGCTCTGGTGTCATAGCTGACAACAACCTCAAACTCCTGGGCGCAAGTGATTCTCTTGCCTCAGTCTCCCGAGCAGTTGGGACTAAAGGCACCCACCACAATGCCTGGCTATTTTTAGAGACGAGGGTCTTGCTCTTGCTCAGGCTGGTCTCAAACCCACGAACTCAGGCAATCCACCTGCCTCAGCCTCCTAGAGTGCTAGGATTACAAGCGTGAACCACCACGCCCAGCCAAAAGCAAGTAATCTTAAGTTATCATCTTTTGACATCAGAATTAGAGACCTACAAATACTAACCACACTTAAAAATGAAAAAAATGTCAATTTGAAAAAAACATTACAAATTGACAATTTGTATGGGCCTCTAAATGGGGACTTGAATACATGGCTATTCTGCAGGCTAAGAAACAGAGGTGTGGGTGAAGGAGATTTGACAAAATGAAGAGAGAAAGAAATAAACAAGTATCTTTTGTAAATGCCTTCACTTCTATAGTCACGTCTTTCCTGACTGTTATAAATCCTGAAGGGCAGTAGGGAAAGAGTGCCAGGGACACCTGATATGATATTCCTTTGATTCTGTCAATGCAGGCCTGAGGCTTAGGAGTGGTAGCCAAGTTTTTGCTTCCTTTGGCAAAAGTGCAATCCCAATTAATGAGACACTTGGAGCATCAGGGTCTGTGCCTCTCTAAACTAAGTAAAGCCAGTCCACAGGGCCTAATTATTGCCCAAACAGTAGGCCTAATATAAAGGACAAGAGCCGTCTATAGGTCTGGAGAAAAGGGGGGACGGTGGAGAAGTCAAGCTCTTGATTGGGATGTGAAGGAGCCAGAACTCTATTAGGGAGAAAGTGCAGAGACTTGCATGAAAAATCTCAACAGAGAACATTAACAACCATATCCAGAGCCTATATTCCCATAGATCACTAGGCAAAAGACATGAATAGAACCTTCTCTAAAGAAGACAGATGAATGGCTAACAAGCATATGAAAAAATGCTCATCAGAAAAATGCAAATCAAAACCACCCTGAGATATCACCTAATTCCAGTGAGAATGGCCCACATCACAAAGTCTCAAATCAGCAGATGCTGGCGTGAACATGGAGAGAAGGGAACACTTTTACACTGGTGGTGGGACTGCAAACTAATAAACTAATACAAGTATGCAGAACCCACAAAGAACTCAAATTAGACCTCCCGTTTCATCCTGCAATCCCATTACTGGGCATCTGAAGAAAAAAAGTCGTGTTATCATAAGGACATTTACACTAGACTGTTCATCGCAGCTGAATTTACAGTTGCTAAAATTTGGAAACAACCTAAATGCCCACCAACCCAGGAATGGATTAACAAACTATAGTATACATACACTGTGGTATACTGTTCAGACATTAAAAGAGACGGAGACTTCACATCTTTTGTATTAACCTGGGTTGAGGTGGAACACCTTCTTCTTAGTAAAGCATGACAAGAATGGAGAAGCATGAACCCAATCGATTCTGATATGAAGGTAGTAGTTGATCTAACGTAAGATGGGGGTAAAGGAATGAAGGAGCAGGGAGAGGGGAGCGGAGGTCACACATCTTGGGGGCTGGACACAATTATAAGAGGAAATTTACCTAACAAATGCAATCAGTATAACCTAATTTTTTATACCCTGAATGAATCCCAAACAATAAAAAAAAAATCTATGTGTTTATAATGAAAGAAATAGCGTGTATTTTGTTGGTTAAAGGTCATCGAATGAGAGTTCAAATTCTGGCTCCACTGCTTATTAGCTATGACCTTGGGCTATGACCTCTCCATTACTCAGGTTGGTTTGTGAGACTATGAATTAAATAAGAAGTAATAAACCTTGAGAGTAATACATCATATGTTTTTCCTTTTTTACAGATTCTATATGAATTCACCAATGTGTGAATAACACACATACGCTCGCAAAAACATAATTTGTGTCGGTGTATTTCTGCCCTTCTCCAACCTTCTCCAAAGCCGTCTTTATTGCTGACTTAGCAGTTCCTGATTTGAGCGGCAACAAATCCTTTTGTAAAAATATGATTGAGGTCATATGAAAGAAACTTGAAATTCTTCTTCAAGACAGTAAGAACATTAAAATCATTGAGTGCAGCAGTTCATGAACCACAGACTACTAAAACTTTACACAGGAGTTTAATGTGGTCATGAAATTGATAGGTGGTAATCAAAATGACATACTCTTAACACTGTTCTCCTATCTTGCCATTTAAGTATTTTCAGAAGACAATCTCAAGAGTTCCACAAATTGTACGTGATTTCTTGCATTCTTGTAATTTCACTTCTGCAAAATAAAAAATTCTATCTTGCAGATACCTGAGCTAATCTCATCAAAAATAGCTGGAGACTTGCTTAGGTATAGAAACCAGGTGGGTCAAAGTTATTAGAAAAAGTATTGTAAAATATATTTGTTGACATATGCTGCTGCTTTTTCTTGCTTCAGGGATCACAGAATAATTTATCTGTTTCGAATTTTTATGTTTTGTTTTCCTGAACATAGTTTTATTTCTGCCCTAAATGAATTTTTAAAAAGACATTATGCATGCAGATTAATAACACCTCTCCAGGAGGCAAGATAGCCGAGCGATTAAGCATGCACGCTGTCAGAGCTCTTAGCCTTCAAATCATGACTGGCACTTACCAGCTGGGGAGGTTACTTTATCTCTGTGTTCACTAACTTTCTATTTTTAAAAATAGGAATAATAATATCATTTAGCTTGTAGGGTTACTGGGAAGATTTAAGAAAATGTTCAATGTCTTAAAAACCATACGGTAAGCAATCAATTAGGGTCTGTTAGTGTTATTTTTCTTTCTATAATCTAAACCAGGGTGGAGAACCTGTGGCCTTCTAGGTCCTTAAATGTGACCTTGTCACGGAATCCAAATTTCACGGAACAAATCCTTTTATCTTTATTAAGACATTTTTGTTTGTCCTTTATATTTTTATTTTTAAAATGAACATATCTAAAGTACCAAAGAATAAGATAAGTTTTAAAGAAATAATCCTAATAGATAAACTGGTACAATTAGAACATAAATAAGCCCTAAAGGCTAAATTGATGACGACTTGCTAGTGATTTAGTTCTAATTCCCCCACCTGATTGGTGCCCCTACTGCATGAGGCTGGTTGGTGAAGAGTTTGTGGGGATCAAGTACACCAGTCTGTTTAGCAGCTTTTGACAATACTACACTGCGTTTCTCTTTGAAGTGAAATTTGTGAATGGTTGCACAGCTTGACAGTATTTTTTAATTCTATCTGCTTAATATCTCATCATATCAAAGAAGACCAAAAGAACATCGAAGGAAGGAAACATTTTTTCATGAGGTTTGGGAATTGCAGTATCACCTTGTTTCCACTAAAGATAAGAAAATTTGCTTGTTTTGTGATACTGCAACATCGACCTTAAAGAAATTCAATGCTTATCAGCATGAGAGCGCTCATAAGGACCACATATATTTCCAATTACACGGAGAGGCAGCAAAGGTTTTCCAATTACAGGGAGAGGCACCAAAGGTTATACTGCAGAAATTAAAAGACAAAAAGCAAAAACAATGGCAGGCCTCTCAAGCAGCAATAGACTTGGACATAATGCCACCGAAGCAACTTGCAAAGTAGCTTATATACTCAGGAGAAAGGGAAGCCGTTCAGCGGTGAAAAATGGTGACAGAATGTATTGCTGAAGTTGTAGGCTGCTCAGACCTGGATAACGTGTCAAGGTGCAAACCACTGCCTCTTTCAAGGAGAACTTAACCAATCGGCAACATGAAATAGCCTTCAACTTAAGAACTTCATGCAATATTTCAAAAGCAAATAATCCACTGACATGACTGGCTCAGCACATGTTTTCTATTTCGTTGGTGTCATAACAGATGTTCTTTACCACAAGGAGTTACTACTACTCTGGGCATTCCTGGGAACAAAATACCAGGAACAGATAGCCTCACTAACTTTCAAAATAAATATTTTGCAGTTGGACTGAACTTGATGGTGCACCTTCTATGACAGGAAAACAGGAAAGGTTTATTGCACAGGAAAAAAAGGCACTGGCTGATTCAAATGCTCCATTTCTTTCCATTGTATCTTGCATAAGCAACATCTCTGTGCTAAAGCTACTATTTTAAATAGGAATCTAATAAAATCTGACACTTTACAGTCAGTTGTAAGTATTGTCAACTATATTCATGCAAATGCAATGAGCATCATCAGTTTTGTAACTTATTAAAGTTGGACCACGAGGTATTCAGTGTGGATTTGAGATCGTTCTAAAGCACAGTGGCTATTGCAGCGACAGGTGTTAGTCAAAATTTTCTCTCTGTGAGAAAAGGTAGCTAAATTTTTTTTCTTTTTTTTTGAAGTTTTTGGCCGAGGCTGGGTTTGAACCCACCACCTCTGGCACATGGGGCCAGTGTCCTACTCTGTTGAGCCACAGGCGCCGTCCAAAGGTAGCTAAATTTTATGAAGAACAGAGTCAGCAAGATGAATTGTTGAAAGAAAGTTTCTATAGGAAGACAGCATTTCTGTGTGATGTGATGTCAAATTAAAACAAGAGTATTTCTTTGAAAAGTAAAACTAACTCCACACATGTCAAAAAAAATCTAAGCATTTTGAAGAAAGCTGTCTTTTTCAGAACACTTCTTCTTTAAAAGGAAATTTCAGATGAACATTTTCCCCAGTTAGCAAAAAGGTCATTGATGAGTAGGATGGTCTATATAAATCATTTGAAGAATATGGAGCTGGTTTAGACCTATTAACTAGAGAATCTAATGGAAGGTTCACTGACTTTGAGAAGCTTGACATCACACTCAAATTAGCACTTCTGCCTCCCCTAGTTGACATCACCACAACTTCTGAAGAGCTATAAATAGAATTGATGGCGCTTTCAGTAGATGACATTTTTTTTTAATTGTCTGCAATTCATTGAGGGTACAAAGAATTAGGTTACACTGATTGCAGTTATTAAGTAAAGTTCCTCTTGTAATTGTGTCCCACCCTTAAAAGGTGTGCCACACACCGTGACCCCCATCTCTCTCCCTCCCTCCGCCCCTGTCCCCATCCCTCATTCTCCTACACCTCACCTTGTATTAGATCAAGTAGCTGACATTTTAAAGTCATTGCTTGATGCTAAGAAAGATCCAATTAAAATATGGAAAAGTGTGGTAGAATACTCCCACCTTCAGTAACGCGCCCCCAAAATGCTTTCTTCCTTTTCAACCACTTATTGCTGTGAACCTTCCCCAAATCAAGGTGCACAAATAACTAACACCCATCTTGAGGATTAGCTATAACTATGGATCTTCATGCTGCAACCAGTTACCCAAATGCATTCCAACAACAAGCAGACACATCAAAGTTATACAGTATAATGTTAAATTAACAAAGAGTTTTTATATTTTGAAAGGAATCTAATAATAGTTAGATTTTTATAAAATAATGTACATTTTTAAGCATATCTCATTGAATTGTCTTGAATGTGGCCTTCTTTGATTACAGCTAAATTAATGCTGTAACATGAAAAGGTTTCCCACCTCTGACCTCAACTAACAAACAGCAACACAACAGCACTATACATAGAATCACATTCACATTAATCAACATCACATTCATTTCTGTGTTTCAATCTGTTGGCCTTAAGCTAGTTTTTCATAAAGTCAGTAAGTATCACTCATATCTTGTTGAAATAGCAATGACATTCAGCCATATATTTAGTAGCTTATAAATCAAGGGTCTATTTCAAATGGTCAAAAGTAAAATCATCCTTAGCACATTATCATAAACAAATTCAGTATTCAGATTACCATATTTGGACGATTATAAATGAGAACTCTGTCTGGCTTGTGCTGTCCTATTTGTAGAGCTTCTTCTAGAAGGGGCACATATTCTACCCTCCTTCCAGGTTCAATGCCAAATGATGCTGTAACAACCAACTTGGGCTATAATTAAAAAAAAATGGAGAAAACATTAATAATCCTAATTAAAGTAATTACTATATTTCAAGTGCAGGCTGGCAAATTAGCATTTCTAAAAAAGTTTGAATGATTCTGTTCTCTACTGAATAAATAGCCTAAAAACCAATAAACCTTTTTGTAATTGTTGCAGACCTAACCAGTTTCTCGTAAATCTCACTTACCTGTTCAAAACTACACAGTGATGCTTTTGGCTCGTAAGTATGACTTGTACAAAATACCTTCCAAAGAATTCATGAAATCAAGTGGATTTGCCAGGAACCAGTAAAATGCAAACCTTGGGCCCCTCACTTGCAGAGGCTCCAGTAAGAGTGGTTGCTGCTGAGCCTGTAGCATTTCTTAGGTAGAGAGGGTCAACCCAGCAGTCAGGAAGCATTCTAACCTTTGCTATGTAAATGTAAATGTCTCTTCTATGTGCCTAAAGACACAGCGTGTACAAGGGGCCCAAATATGTAATACTTTTATGGTTTTATTCTCCTTTTAAATATATATTCACGTTCACCAACTATTATATTATAATTTTATATCATTTTTCTTAAAAGGAACCCCAAATGGTTTCAGTTTCAAGCCCCACAAAGCCTGTGCCGGTCCCGTCCTTAAGGTATCCTTGGCACTCTTTACTTGATAACTTGCTAGACAATTTTTAAGACACACATAGGTGCAGCCAAAATGTATCCCTAGGGGAAATCTCAGTTTGGGCTTGGGTTAATCTCCCTTCCTCAGTACATCTGAGCATGCCTCCAACGTTCAACTATAATTAAAGCATTCATTTATCTCCACCACGGCAGAGGGAGCTGCCCAAGGCCAAGTGCGGGTGCCATTTATCTTTGTGTTTCCTGCACCTGCTCCGTGCTCACCGTTTCCTAAGTCCTCAATAAACATTTGCGAAACTGAGCCAAAATTCTCATTAACTTGCAGGGGTAAGAGTACTTATTTTTTTAAAGCACATTGTTTCTTCTAAGACATCCAAACCAAAGGCATCAGGTAATTACTCAGAAGACAGTTAATCAATCCCAGGTATTGCATGCATTCCTGAATTCTGATTTCTAGTGATAATACATTTTATCTAGGGAAGGATTATAATATGCTAAACATGCACATGTATGGTACTATCTGCTTTTTGAATATCATTTATTATTTATGGGGCTGAGGCTCAGTGTGGTTACACAGCTTGCCCCAGGTAGTAAGTGGTGGAGGCAGAAGGGGGCCAGGTCTGTCTGGTGGCAGGACTTTTTCTTTTCCACTCTACTAAGCTGTCCTTAAAAAAGAGAGAAGAGATGTAGAAAAAAGTCTTGTTTTCTTTTATTATTATTTTTAAAGGTCAGACATTTGAATATAATTCACATTTCAATATTTGTAACACTTGCAAAAATAGCTCTAGACACTATTCCCTAAAATTAGAATTCTGAAGAAATGAAAGTAAGCCATATACCAAATAAAACCATATAGAGAATATATTGGAACTTGAATAATTTAATAAAGTCAAAATTAGACTTCCTGTGGAAAAATAATCCTTTTCATATTTCTATTAACAGATTTTTATTGGAGATTGTATTGGGTCTAGACTGACTGGTTAGAATACATCTATCCCCATCTGTTAAAATAAAATTTGTCTTAAGCCTATTTATTTGAAAATAATGACAGTAAAATTGTTTCTGATTTTAATTACATATCAATTTTATCCAAATATCTCAGACCTATAACTTTATCTACATCTCTCCTTAAGTTTGACCTGCTCAATGGATTTGCCCATTTATTGCCTAAACTTCTTAATAAGATTGTGTGTGCATGTCTGTGTCATGAGTGAAAATTCTGTAAGTGCTAGAGCATGAATCTGTGTGTGTAAAGTAAGGTCAACCATCTCCTACCTGGATAATGACCTTCCTTTGTTAATCATCTCACTGTTGTTATTATCCTCGTTTTGCTCATTGCTTCACAAATAGACCAGCTACCTAAGTCTTTTATTATATCTTTAGATTCTCCCCTACTCACATCATAAAGTAAGACTTATTTCCTCTTAACAAGACACTTACCTGTTCAAACACTTTTCCTGGCCGAGAGCTACAGAATCCCGTTCAGCCGAAACCTGCCTTGGCACACCCACCTTCCCTCTCTCGTTGGAGACATCAGCCTATTGTCCCCCCAAATGAATTCTATTACACTGATATAATAGTTGACTCACATTCTTTTTCTCCCTCTCCGAATGTCACTCCATCATTTTCTTTGACTAGCTGAATCTTAGCAGAGATGTAACTCACATCTTACCTTGTTCAGGAAGCCGCCTTCAGCCACGCAGCTAAAAGAAAATGCTCCTTCCTCTAAATCAGGGGGGTGCAAACTACACTTCTGAGCCAAACTCAACCCAGAGCCTGTTTCTGTAAAATTTTACTAAAAAACAAACATGCCCCTCCACAGTAATCTGAAATTGAAAAGTAGAAAAATAAACCCGCCTGTTTATGCATTATCTAAGGCTACTTCTGCGTCCTAACAGCAGAGGTGAGTACTTGCATCAAAAACCAGGTAATATTTGCTCTCTAGTCACTTACAGAAGAAAGTCTGCTGATGTCTGCTCTCTAAATTCACAGATTAATAATAGTTAACATTTTTCAAGCAAATACTATACTCCAGACACTGTGCTAAGTGACTTAAATCCAAAATCTCAATATTTTACAAGATACATGAAGTTAATTATCTTAGCACCTCATTTGACCAGAGACTTCACCCCTCCTTGACACCCTCTATTAACCACTGTGCTGAACTTCCCTTCCTAGAAGTATATAGATTATAAAACTAATTATGTGTCCCATACATTTGGTAAGGCTTATTTATTATCTATGTCCAAGGACAGCACAAACACGTAGCAAAAGCTTAATAAATATAGGTTGACTGAGTAATAGATATTATTTCTTTTTATCATATTATATACCCATACATAGGATGAGCTAACTTGAAAGGCTTACACTTTACCCTATATATATATTTGATATTCCTCCAAGCACACAGCAAGATGCCCTTCACACAGGATTGACTTAAGACAAAGGTTTGATGACCGTATTCCAAAGGAAAAATTCAAAGTCTCCCATTTCAAAGGAATACCTAACAAGTACAGATCATTCGCATCTCATACACACATAGTGGTGCCTACCTATAGAATTCCATAGCTGTAATAGCTACTCTTGATTTCCCCCAAATAAAGCACATACCTTTACGTGGTCGATGCGACTGCTCAGTTCTTTGGATGCAAATCCCCCAAATATGAGACTGTGGATGGCCCCTATCCTGGCGCACGCCAGCATCGCATATATCGCCTGTGGGATCATGGGCATGTAGATGACCACAGTGTCGCCTTTCTTGATGCCATGCTTGACCAAAACACCAGCCAGCTTAGAGACCTATAAAAAAACCATGAGATCAGCAAAAGTGTTTTCTGTATTATCTCACTCACCTTCTAAATCAAGGCAGTAATGCTCAAAGATGATCACCCCCATGGTAGTAGATAAAAGAAATCTGAGTCCAACATATTTGAGGATGATGATAAGATGTAAGTGATGACAATAATAACAGGAAACTCTACTATAATCATTGATTACAAACCCACTTGCTATTATTATGCCACGTAAATGTCATGATATAAATTTGCTTACTCATTCATTATTTGCTGAGCAACCATTAGAGTTGGTAACACAACACCGAAAAGGAAAGATAACAGACTTTCTTGTGTGAGACTGTATCGTAAAGAGGGAATCTGTCAAGTGAACAGAAAAATGAAAGATTTACAGATTTAGATATATGTTGGGCTCACAGTTGGAGGAAACAAGTAGGTATTAAGAAAGAAAACATAAGGCAAATAAGAGAGATTCTATCATATTATTGTTCACAACTGAAAGATAAGGTAACAGGCTCAGAGATAATAAACCAAGGTCAGAGACGATGGTTTCTTTTGCTTATCAAATAATAAGGCAAGCTCAGAGATCTGAGGTTTATTACGCCTGTCCCTACCAAATGGCATCATAGGTCTTCTGACCTCAGACACTTTGCTCTTTCGGCTGCCTCAAGCTAATTATTTTTTCTTTATTTCTTTAATGCTAATCACTGATACAAAGTGATTTGCCCCTATTTTTGGATCAAACATACAAAACTCGTTTTACTTTAATCTGTGTTTTGGGGACCAAACACATATTACATGTGTCTTAACATGTATTGATTGTATTTTCTAGTAATAAAGGCAAAATAGGTCATAAGTCCACACAGGAAAAAATGTGTTGCAAGAATTTTTTTCCATGGGCAATTCCAGCAGGCTGTGGGAAGGATGCCCAGACATAAGTGAATAAGGAGTTCAGCATTTCTTGACTTCAAAATAGACGTTGAGTATTTATTATATGCCAGACACTGTTTTCTGAAACATCAGATAAGTAAACGCAACAAGACAACCATCTCTATCCTCTGGGTACTTGTCTTTTAGTAGAGGAAATACTCAAAACAAGCAATAAACATTAAAAGTAAGTAAGTATGTATTCTAGTAAACAGTCGTCAACCCCACGGTGGGGGCAGCAGAGCGGAGAGAAGAGGATTGAAGTACAGGGGGTAGGGTGGATGTGATTCCCAATGGGACAGTCAGGGTAAGATCTCACTAAGAAATGATATTGTATCAAATGCATTTAAAAGGTTGAGCATAAGCAGATATCTACAAAGATACTGTTTTAGGGAGAGGGAGCAACATTACAAAAGGGGCAAAGAGTGTCCTATGTGATACAATTACTGAACAGCAAGGAGACCCGAGGGCTGGAGCAGAAACCAGCAAGAAGCCAGTGGTGGGGACGGCGGGGGATAACGACTGGGGCCTGCTGGGCAGCAGGAGGGACGGGGGCTTGTCTTTGAATGTGACTGCTCACCATAACGGACACAGGAGGCTGGAGAGAAGAAATTAGGACACACGGCTATTTGTGGTCCCTTTCATGTCACTCTGCCTCTCCTACTTTCGGAACAAATTCAAAGAATTCTGAATCCTGACCATTTTTTCTGTTTTCTTTTTATTCACTTCCTTTGTGCTGATGGGGAAAGATGTGGTCAAGGTTAAGGGCTCTGGTGAAAGAGAAAACGTAAAAAACCATTTGGGTGGTTTTTCTCCCTTACATTTGCAGACTCTGTAATTGAGTGCTACGTTCTAAGAACTCTAAAGCCGCCCAGCAGAACATTATGAGACAGATACATTAAAGTCGTAAGAATTATGACCTGAAATTCTATGTGGGCTCAAGAATCCAGACCACAACTGAAAAGTTTATCCAAACATCTCAGTGTGCCATCCCTGTAGAAACTGGACGTGTCCCAGGATCATATGCGTTACTGGGTTTCTCATGTAAGGAGCAGGGTTGAGATAGACTCGGGAGGAGAGTTTGTTTTGTTCACAGCTGCAATCTCAGCATGTTGAATAGAGCCTGTTGTTGAATTTTTAAAAAAATCTTCAACCAAGACTCGCACTGGCAATAATTCCATAACTCCATAACCTTACATTCTGGTCACTTCACAATGTTTCTGGAAGATTTCCACAACTTTTCTAACCTCCTTTGAAAGAGTAAGTTCAAAATATTCAAACCTTTCCTGAAACAAAGATCTCAAAATGATAGATTATAGGCTAAATGTGACCCCAAGGTGTATGCAAATTGGGGCCATGTTATATCTTAAGAAAGTGAGCCAACTTATTAAATTTAGTAGTTTTCATTTACAAATCTGTATTTCCACATTTTCTAGAAAAAATTGAGAGAGCTAGTAACAGTGGACCTATATTCTTGAATGACCTGATGGTCAGCTGGCCATCCCAGGGGCATTTATTATAAAGTTTGCGTAAGTTTTTTTTTTTTTTTTTCATTCTGAGTTCAAACTATATTCTTCTACATCCTGTTTATTTTGTTGTGTGCTTACACCATGGATCCCTAACCACAGAAAAGATGTAATATATAACATCTATTGGTTTTACTCCCATCCCCTCACTTCTCTCCTTTATATAATTTTTTGGTTGTTTTTTTTTATTTAATTTTATTTTTTATTAAATAATAACAGGGTACATTAATACTATCATGGGGTACAGTATACTGTTTCTCTATACAACTTGGAGTACTTTCATCCAACTGGTTATCATAGCCTTTATGTCTTTTTCTTAGTTATTATGTTAAGTTATTCTACATTTAGAGAGATTCACATGTACCCTTATAGGATGAACCATAGGTGTAATCCCGCCAATCACCCTCCCTCCACCCTCGTTTTGTTTTGTAGAGACAGAGTATCACTTATCACCTCCAGTAGAGCACCGTGGCATCACACAGCTCACAGCAACCTCCAACTCCTGGGCTTAGGCGATTCTCTTGCCTCAGCCTCCTGAGTAGCTGGGACAGGTGCCCACCACAACATCCAGCTATTTTTTTGTTGCAGTTTGAACTCCACACCCTCCATATATGGGGCCAGCTCCCTACCCACTGCTGCTCTATATAATTGGTTTTTGAAGGCACATGAGTCATCAACCATTATCATGAAAACAACTTTCAAAGTCAAATTAGGCTGCAGCAGGCCAGAATAACCACTAGATGGAGACCATTTGGCCACAACCAAGTCGGTCTACATACAAGTTTTACATAATCAATAGTGCAAATTTCTTTTTTGGTAGTTTCCAGGGATAAATGTCATTCTGGTAAAATTTTTCACTGTAACCTGTAAACCTAAGTATACTATGTATGAGAAAATTTGGTGGAAAATATATCATAAGCACTCAAAGTGCTATTGAAACTTCAACACAAAGTCTATTCAATACAGCTATGATAGGGTTTACCTCATTATTACTTTCAAAGAGAAAAAGAGAAAAGAGAAAAAAAAATTTTTATTCAATGATATCCTACCATAGATGCTGAGTATAGATTTATAATTTGTATTATTATCAAAAGGGAAAATACTTCAACATATAGTCAAAATATATATCGCTTGTAATCTTTAATTTTTTAACTGAAGAAAAGTTAAATAAAATAACATAAAAAATAATAATAAATTAAATAAAAGTTACTAGTCACCCAACTCATAGTCCTCTTTGTACATTTTTAATTTTTAAACAAATTTATCAAGAACCTGATAGTTTTATACAAGTACAGGCCACTAAAATTGACTGTCAATCTGAAATCATGGGTGGTACAAATTCCACATAATAATGGCCACCAGCCAGCATGAGAATACCACTCTGCTAACCTGAGGATTACTAAGTTGTAAAGCCTTAGTAAAGAAAACAAAAAATTAATGTATATATTTATGTAAATACAACAATGTATTTGATTCTTCCCACTAGAAATTATACGAATTATTTTGGTACTAATTTAAAGCCATTTTTATATGTAAGTATTTTGTCACTGATTCAATTTATATAACATCGGTTACAACTCCTACACTAAGATCAAGTCCTCAGATATAAAAATGAGGAAGACATGGTTGGTTCTTAAACCAAATAAATTTGGAGTCTCAGAAGAAAAAAGAATCATACATATGAATAAAAAGGGTAAAAGAAGAAAATGTAACAACAGAAATTTATATAATGTAAAATGGTATACATCTATGTTTGGTATATATACAATATATATAATATACAGGGTGTCCATAAAGTTTGTGTGCCATTTAAAATAGCATTAGATAATATTTCATTAGATAGAGGTAAAGATTTTAAATTTCAGAGTTATAAAATGAAAGCATATTGATTTAAACAATGAAAAATAAAGTAATAAAACTTTCTATGTTGGGCAGTGCCTGTGGCTCAAAGGAGTAGGGCACTGGCCCCATATGCTGAAGGTGGCAGGCTCAAACTCAGCCCTGACCAAAATCTGAAAAAACAAAAACAAAAACTTTCTGTATTATTTCTAAGAAATCTTCATTCAAAAGCAATCTTTGGCTTAGTAGAAATAATTTTATAACCCAATGCCCATGGCACGAATATTAAATGTAGTCATAATTGACCAAAGGTCATATTCTATGGAGCAAATTAGCACTTGCCACAAGGAAAATCATGCTTGCATAAAAAAGGTAGTGGTGGCGTCCAAATTGTAGTAAAAAGACAGCAATCATGGGTCACCTCAGGGCCATTTCAGAGAAAAACACATGAAAAAAAAAAAAAGACAAGGGAAGACATATTTTAGGTGCAAAAATGCCAAACTCCAGACAAAAAAAGGTAATATCGAGGACAGCCATATTATTTGAGGAAACATTTTATTAAAATTGGAAATAAACGACTTGCTTTTGAGAATACTCAGAACTTCCCATAAAATGAGATGTCTCCACTACTTGCATTTTACTTTTAAACAAGTTGAGTTTATCCTACATCTATACATACATAGACAAGCATTATTTTTGTTTATTTATTTTACTT